GTTGCTAATTGTTTTAGTCATTTGCTTGAACACACAAATCTTCAGTATTTCTAAAACGAAGGTTTTAAAAACAGGTAAGCAGATCAAGTGTCCTTTATTTAAAGTAAAGCAATATTCGTATATTTTGAATTAAATATATATATATATATATATATATATATATATATATATATATATATATATATATATATCGTTCAACGTTTTGTTTATGCACAAACCCATAATAGAATTTTTAAAAAGGAATGCAATCCTTTGCATAAAACACACACGAAGATGATATATTTACATATTTATCGGTCAATGCATGTGTGTGCATGAGTTCTTAGTCATTGGTGTAATAACCGGGAAAAGATAGTACATATGCGTCTGTGTGTGACAGTAAGAAAGAAAACCACAATTAACGAAAAAGAAATCAAGTAACAACAAAAGAACATTATTTTAAAATCAGTTTTGAAGAAATGGTTTTCTTATCTATGAAAGTTTACCCCTTGTAACTCACTTTGTCCTGGTTCTGTTACATTTCAATAATGATAAACTGCTCTTTCTGTGTTGTGTTTTATATAGTTAAGATGATTTTGATAAGTTTCCTATTTTACATTCTGTGAATTCTTAGATTTGAAATATTATTATCTAACTGATTTTAGAAAGAAAAGGGTTCATCAATTTATTATTAGCCATGTTTTTACATTCCACATCCAGGGGTAAAGTTGACAATACCTAAAATATATTACTATCATGTAAAGTGACAAACAGAAAGAAACATATGGTAATGATATTCCGCTGAGTATTTGTGACCAGAAAGCTAGCTTCAAACAAAAAAGATTCCCCAATAGTCTTAAGTTTTTTAATTGAATTGTTAAGTTGTAAAATGCTGCTTTGAAATTAATTAGCACTAACGACAATAAAATATAACTTGGCTAGTTCTCTGATTTTAGCTTTTCAAGAAGTCACTTATTATCTGAATAACACGGTGACAAAGTAAATGACTGAATAAACTGAATCGCAGCTCTACCGTGAGCAATGTTCACCTTTTACGGTTAAATAACAACAGTCAATTAAAATGAAAAGTCTATCTTGTTCCTATTGACAGCCTTATTTCAACTTACACTACATTATTCTGATTTTTAACAAGTTTTCTAAAGTTGTTCATTCATTTTGGAAATGACCTATGCATTCAACCCATCTTCACATTAAAATTGTGTAAATCAATATTTGTGACTTTAATAAATATATAACTATTCTACATTTAAGTTATTCATGTACTTTAAAAATAACATTGTTGTGCTGTGCATGCTACTTATATTTGTTGATATAAGTAATATGTAACAGCAGTCGGAGGTGGAAACCCTGGCAGCAGAATACTAAGAAGATTAAGTTGACGGGAACAGAGATCAAATTAGTAAGGATCATAAAGAATAATAGAAATTTGTAAATGAATTATTAAATGTATGCTTATCATATTTTATCTAGACACTGTTATTGTATGCTAACATACATTGCCCGTCCCCACCTATAGTCTAGTTCACAGCAGTTATTTTCACGATATAACAATATTTTGCCAATTCATTACTATCTAGGATTAAAACAACATTTAATAATAAAAATAATTTGTTATTATACCACCTACTAAGTCTTTTCTAGAAAGATAGAAATAAATGAAAAATAGATTTCAGGTGAAGATTTAAAAAAGGAAATAAAAAATTGATGTAAAAAAAGATGATCTTCTCTTCACTGATTTTTTTTTGTTTTTACTTTTTGTAATTCAACAATATTCAGTGTTCAATGCATATTATTTATAGAAAAAAATGCTTAAAACAAAATTTTAACATTACGAAAATAATAAAAATATCGGTTTTTTGACAGTTGTGCGTGTTGTTTTCTCACAAAGAATTGAGAGAAAGATAATAACAATAATAATAATAATAATAATAATAATTATTATTATTATTATTATTAAACTGTGGAATCAATTTAAAAGGAATTCCCTTTTGTTCAGTATATGAATCAGATATTTTTATTTAACTTAGTCGTTGATCCCGAAGAATCTTTTCTGCAACTAGTCAATTCAAATAGAAATTATGTTCGTGATTAATGAAATTTTAGATTGTAATTAAGAATCAAGCTATTTATAAACATCTTTTTATTATATCAAAAATAATTCTCCTTTATATATATATATATATATATATATATATATATATATATATATATATATATATATATATATATATAGGAAACTGGGCTTCGGTAAATGATGAATCTATAAGACAAATAGCTTTATTGTACACCCACCACTTGTATGTTTACGAGTCAACAAAATATATTCATTTTATTTTAAGAATATCAATTGACTCTTCATCTCACTCCATTAATTTTATCTATAAAAATTATACAAAGAAATGAAAATGTGACAAAGTATGTTTGACATTAAACAAAAGAGTTTAACAATTGTGATTTTATTTATTTGATATACCATAATATTTCGAATATAATCCGAACCTTTTTAAAAATTCTTTAGTTTAAGAAAGTTAACAAAGAAATAATATTTCACTTTGTAATTGGTAAAATCATATTGTTAACATATGAAAACCACATTGGACAATATATATTGTTTTAAATAAGCCTTTATTTTTTGGCGGGAAATACTTTATCGAAATTATTTATAATTCAGTTAGTCATTAAAATGATCATAATAATAATAACAATTATTATTATTATTATTATTATTGTTATCCAAGAAATAAACAAAAACCATATAAATACTAATTAATAATCTTGTGAATCATGCAGAAGCAGTGAACGTGAATGGTTTTATTATAGAAATAAAATAAATAGAAAAGGAATGATTATAATGCATGTTCGAATAAATAAAACACACTATATACTGTAAGTTTCATTAACACAGACTAATATCAGTTGAGATACTACTGAGCAACTGGGAGAAATGTGAAGCTGTTTTATCTTGGTATGAGACACTTCATTAGTAAAAATTCACAACTTCAAGGATCGAATCAAGAAGCTTCAGACTTCAAAGTAAGCGCCTAACTACTAGACCAGTAAACTGGTTACTTGTTACTTCATTCAATTTTTAAACAATGTGTTGTTTATCTAATCCCTTTGTTAATTATCATTTTATCGCCGAAATATGTAAACTCCAGCTGTCAAGATTTCTTACTAGAACATTAAGAATTCATCTCAAGGTAAATAATTATTAAGTACACGATAACGGAATTGATAAACAGGCTTTATAAAGATTAGTTTGATTTCTGGATGACCTCAGTTAGAGTAATACTAAAGACTACCGGATCTTCATTTAATGTCCAATGGTATTCTAAATGAGATCATCCTTCAACGAATACCATCAGCAAAGTAAATTAATCTCAAATAAATCTTCCTTGGTTATCCCAATTGTAAAGAATTTAACAGAGGTTGAGTTCACGAGTAAGTTGAAATAAATTAGATTTATATATTGTCTTTTCTGAAAGACATACTTTATTCTGAGAAATTAAGCACGTTTTCACTAGTATACAGTCAAGTGACTTTGCCATTTACAACTCGAGAGCTTGATTTTCTATGGTCGTTACTCTAAGTTTATTTCAATATATTCACTAAATTAACAACGTCTAAGAAATTCGAGAATTCCATTTAAACAATCCACTGGTATACTTTTCGGCTTTTATTATTGTATAATTTCTCAATAGCCTCTGAGTAGGCACAATACAATGTTATATATATAATGTAGTTATTGAGTATTCACAATGCTCACGACCAATATTAATGTCATGATGAAGAATAAAATACACTTCTGAACAATGCATTGATATTGAATACAACTTTTGTATTGTGAATGGCAAGGATACAGCAGATGATCTGTTCATAACAATTTCGAGTTTTGTTACTTATCAGCTCATCATTACTGATGGAAGAACTAATGTTAACAAGTGTGGTTAGAAACTGAAGCTATCTTATAAACTCAAACGTGCAGACAAACATTTGTTATCAACATTGAATTAGATCCGTAATATATAAACGCCTTATCACTGCCACCGCTTAAATGCTTTTATCATAACCATCATGTTAATTTTTAAGTAGGTTGGTTACTGAATAAGAAACATTTCACAAACACACGTGGTCTGAATAATTACATCACAGATTTGGTTTAAATACAAGGAAATAACTCGCAAAAACCGATTTTTGGCTGTCATTTTCATTCAACCGAAATAAGTTATTATCCTAGCAAAGAAAATATATTCAAAACAATTAAGTGGTGGTTATTTCATAATATCCATATAAAGGAAGTGTCATAGTTTTAAAAGTGTAACGTTTTGTTCACAGGTGATTTATTATAGTAAATGTCAGAAATAATAATAAACAGCTAGTTATGAACATTATTAGCATAGGAAAGATTGACATTAGAAATGAGGACCATTTAATGACCAATTAAATGACTAAAAAGAAATACACCATTAGCCCTGACGATGATGATTCTTGAAATGTACTCGCGTACACAATGTTGAAGTAGACGAAACAGATTCCTTGCGCTACCACCTTTTTAATTATTGACATTTAGTGATGTAAATTGTCTCCACTTTGTGAATACACATCTTTTCATCTAACTTAAATATAATATTTTAAGTATATCTAACCATCAGTAAGAATTTATAACGGGTTTTTGTAGAGATTTGAATGGATTGCTTTAATTCATCGCATAGACTTTGAGTAATTTGTGGAGATGATGAAGGAAACTACTGTTTGAATTTCACAAATAGTTATCGATCTTGTGTAAAAATACTCAATATAGTTATATCCAGCAAACACCTTTTTATATAAATTATGAAATGGCTCCAGAGAAGTATATTATTGTCATAAACAGAAATGTGAGTTATGGTTGTAATGAACACAGACTAAAAATCAGCACCTCTGTTCACTTCAGCTTTATAAAAAAAGTGAATTAAAACATCTAGAGAATAAATAGAATTCAAGATGAAGCTTTGACTTACCTCAAATTGTCCAACTCTATTTGGCAACCACGTGATACTCGGTATACCAAGTGCAGATGTGATTTGAAAGAACAATCTGTGCAGTCTGTCATGCATTGGTCTATCAACAAGCGCACCAATATCATTTACAATGAAGAAACTATTAGCAACATAATTACTAGATTGGTTTTGTTCAAATTCTTTACATATTTGATTTTGCATAACTAGAGGATTATAGGCTGTAATGACTTGTTCTGCATAATGTGGATCTAGTAATAAATGAGGATATGGTTTCATGAGATTACGTAAATGTACTGCACCATTTGACTTGTAGTCAGGACGTTGAAATTTCACATCGAATATAATTCCTTGAATTTTAACATGAACAAAGTCTAAATCGTCTGAAGCAATAGTTGAAGACAATGAGTTTGGTGGCAACATTGATGATGATGTGGAAGACAAGTAGTCTGAAGAAGATAATGAGCGTCTTAAACGATTTCTTGAATAATGAAAATATGATGTACTGCTATTGGCAGCAAATTTTATTAGAAGTTTTAGAACGCCTTCAATGATTCTTTTGTTCATGGTGGGTGACTGAAAATCAAACTCGTCATTATTATTATTCATAGTGTACAGTAATGTAGAATTAAAAGTCCTTGAATTCATTGTTCTATTAATCTGATTTGAAAACATTATTTTACCATTGAGAGATTCATTAACATTAACCAGATTCTCATCATTCTCATACTGACGTGATTGGAATGTGTTTGAAGTGATTAAGTCTGAATGATAAATCTTTAATTCAGATTGAAAAGTAAACACACCGGCATTAAACATAAAATTAAACAAACAGAAGAATGTAGGAAATGTTTGTTGTTTCATTTTTGAAACATGATTTTAATTAATAGTTAAGTGAAAAATTGTATCCACAATGTCTGTTTTGAGTTTAGAAAAGAAAACAGGGAAAATACTTGGTATCAAAGAATAACACAAGAGTTTTAAACATAAAATATAATACTCATGCTATTTAACTGAAACTACAGAAACCTTTTATAAATATAACAGTGTAACATAAATTATTAATCTAACATCACATCAATAAATGAATTCAGTTCTTAGTGCTGATTAACTTGTACTAAAGTTTTGAATGTACCCTAAGAACTAAATGATTAGAATAATAGGTCTGTTTTCTCTAGATGCTTTATAAGTTACATAGGTTTGTATCTTGCGAACGGTGGTTTTACATATTTGCAAATGCAACTTATTGATGAATAACAACTAATTCATGATATGAATTTGGGTTAGTACATCATTAACCAACTAACACCGAATATAGTTAAAGAATATTTGAATTATTTGATCAGTTTACCATAAGTAGTTTAGACTGATCATGAATGTTAATTTAGAGACTCATCAATTTCACTCATTTCATTAAGGCCTAATCAGTTGAAACCTATCAATTCTCTATTACATAATGAAAATTTGTTTACACTTATTTTGTAATAGCCTTTTTGCACAATGTAAATTAAATCCAACTTAATATTTCTTCACTAGTTGAAATCGTGAGTCAATTGAAGCTAGACCACCATGAAAAACCTGGAAGCACTGGACGGTTGTTTTGTTCTAGTATGGGACTCCTTATCAGTGCGCATCCACGATCCTCCAGCGAGATTCGAACCCAGGACCTATCAGTCTTGCGCGCGAGTGCTTAACGATTAGACCACTGACTCATGATTCCAACTAGTCAATATTTCTTGTTAAAAATCACTTTTTGAGAAACTTATCACACGAGTTCAAATGTAATATAGATTGTAACGATCTATAAGTTCATTAAAATAACGTTCTGGGTCACAAAACTAAGTATTATGACGGTTAAGCCTATGCTGATCCAACGAATTAAAGATTAACTACTAATGATCAACCCAGCAATGTGTGTGTCATTTTAATTACTGCGGAGCTAGTTCCATAAACTCTTATTCTTGTGCGTTTGCAAACATGTCCCAGTATTGTTAAGAAAAAGAAACATCAAATCTATGAAAGGATCTATTTTCTCCATATAGCAAAAAGCTATTATTACTAATGTGAAAATATCAGACGCGTATTCAACTCTGGTCAATATAGTTATATTGTTATCACATCTTTTATGTAATCGATTTTTTTTTCAGTACGCGTTAAAAATATTTTTCTACCTTATTTCATGTTTCATTATCAATATATTTTTTGTGATATCTAAATGAGTAGAAAATTGTATTTCTGACGTATTTGATGTATTTACTCTGAAGAAGTTACTTACATCAAGTCACGAAACGTCAGAAATACAATTTCTGGTCATTGAGATATCACAAAAAGTATATGAATTATTAACTTTATACCCGACACTCAATTTATTTCAAACTATAAAATTAAACCTTAGCGGTGATACCTATAAACTTATTACACGTTTGTCCTTAATCTATCCTTTACTAATCACGGCAAAATATTTTCTCATTTTTATGTTATTTTAACATGATCTTATTCTATTCGTTAAGAGTTTTGTCTTTCAGAAGTAACTTTCTCATACGCATTGTAATATTACATTTTTAATTTCCTAATGGTACAATTCATTAATGAGAAAGACATAATTTACATGAAGTCCATTATCTATAATTTATAATGACAAGAAATTCAACCGTGACTTTGATGTATATTCCCTAATACATTCCTTACTGGAACACAATATGTATGAACTTGTAATTGTACAGTCTAAAGACGTTATTAAGCACAATGTTTTGTTCAAATATTTTTTCTTTTAGATATATTTTAGATAAGCGTTTACAGTAGAATAATTGCAAAATCATACGAATGAAACTTGTTACTTGTTGTTTGAGAACTTTATCAAGAAGCACGATTTCAAAAGCGTACAAATATATGTACTTTACATATCTCTATACCAACATACTTTACCAATAGTGATACAGAAAAAGTAGAAATCTCAATCATCCTATGTATTCATATACAACTAATGATCAACAAACGTGCAAGTTAAAAGTAAGCTAAAAATTAATTAAATGCGTTATATTATTCTGATTACGTTCTAACAATTTTTTACTGTTCAAAGTTAAGAGTTTAATTTTAAAACTTCCGGGTCTAATCAAATTGTCATGTTTAACACCTAGAAAAGGTTTATTGGCATTCAAACATTACTTAAAACACAATTATTCAGATCCTTTTAATGTTATACCATTTTAATGTTAATCATTACAAAGAAAAACTTTCTAAAATGGGTACTTCTGCCTACTGCTTTTTCTAAAGAGGACTGTACGATTTAATATATGTTTTTGGATAAACAGCCTTTTTGTTTGTTGCTCATTTTAAAGAGCATTTGCTCTTGCTAAAGAAGCTTAGTGTTCTTATAAAAATGTCATAGTATTACTAATTGTTCATTTAAGGTCTTATTGATCAACTGTTTATGAATCATTGTATTGAATGTTATCTAAATATGAGAAAATGAGAATATGACAATCATTTATAGTTACCCTAGAAGTAGTTTTGTATAAAGTTGCGGAATCAAGCATATTACATTCAAAATGTTGTGGCTTTTGATTAATTTGAAATGTATTAGACACATGGAAATAATGCTGAATGTGCTGCAAAGACTAATTGATATTTTCTGACAGTGCTTTGATGCAAAGTCAATTTTTGTTTTGGAAATTTAAGAATTATGCAAATAAGCGAAGGATGAAGGTTTACACAACTACAGACAAGTTTTTATACAAATTGAATGTTACTATTTGCGGACATGGGAGAAACAATCATTAAAAACATGAGGATGAGTAAAAAACGCTGTAAATATAGACATTGGCCTAAATTTATTGTGCTCACTGTAGATCATAATGGTTCTGGGTCATAGATAAACTTTATTGAGGTGTTCAATCCTCTAGTTCTCAATAGTTGCCCAGCCAAACTCAAATATTGTGTGGTTTGTTTAAATATTGTAAACGCACTTTAATTAAACAATATGTTACTTAAAAAGCAACAATAATAAAACAAACCATGTATAAAGTAGTAAATATACAACTATTCTCAAGTGCTTTTAGTAAACACTTTCGCACTGATGAGTAGTTCACGTAATTGGTAACAAACTTTACCGAACACTGGTCGCACAGCATTTAGAACTAAAAACAATTTTTTGAAGAGTTATTATGATTTAATTCCAATGAATACTGATGCATTTTAGATAATGCTTTTCCTGCTATTTTGAACATTATTGACTTCGAATAGACACATATAAATGGATTTTGATTTTAATACTATTCAATAACATCATTTATTTTATAATATTGTCAGTTTGATTATCCATTGTTCAAGTTTTAGGTCAAGAGGATACTTGTAAGCTGATACGAATATTATTGATTCAAACGACGTAAAGTACTATTTATTATGATTCTTACAACAGACATCAATTTGATTTAATTTTATAACATCTAAAAAAACGGAACTACGTTTCAAGGACAATTTTGTGTGACTTATTTAAAATTGAAAAAGAGCATATTTTAGTGTAGATAGATAGAAACAACTCAAAAATGGTTGAGCTAAAGTAGCTTGTTTCTAATCACGTCTAAGATACATCTCATTCAAACAGCGTTAACTGGTAATAGATTATCTCAAAATAAAATATAACGTCTGAGCAATTATCAACGTAACATTTTAGGTATAAAAGTCAAGAGAGAATAATTGTGAATGTTCCACCTAATCAAATTAACAATTAGTACACCAGTGTGATTTATAACCAACAAAATTTGTTCATAGCTTTAAAATCAAGTAATATCTAAATAAATATGAATTTAAAGGATGAATTGATTGCATGGAATCTGTTAAATGGTCATATTTATTTTAATGGTCTAGCTTAGATGGACTTGTGAATTCAATGGTTAAAATACAACAATATTCACAAATTCCCATACTGATAATACTCAGCTAAATGGTGTACATAAAAAAAATAAAAACGATAAATTAGTTTGAATTATGATTAGTCAGAGAGTAGTTTAACAATTATAGAGAAGATTAACCTATATATATATATATATATATATGTCGGAAGTATATTTACTTTGATTAGACTTGCCCTAATGTAATGTAACTAATTAAAGACAAACATCAAAAGAATTAGACTATAAACATTTTCTGCAAAACAATTACATTATTAGGTTAAGAACAGATTGGTATTCATAGTGCTCGTTTCACTCACACACATATTTTCGTTAGGTTGCAGAGTTCTGCATTACTTTTGTGTATGTCTAATAATAGACATTTGCCGAATTAAAAACGTATTTCGTTTTATCGGGAAGTAAGTAATGAGAACAAATTTGACAAATGTAGAAACTAAAATAAAATTAATTTTTTCATACCAACACTTGGTAAGTAGTATTTCTGTCTAAATTATAACTATTATTCTGCATGTATATGCCACTGAATAAAGTATTTTTTGGATGGAACTATGTTTTTAGAAGACATAATCTGCTTTTTTAATAATCGGTGACAGAAAAATCAGACGATTTCTTAGTTTTTTGTCGACCATATGTTTGCTTGTCTCTTTGCATCAGTGAAATGTTAAGACACCTATAGGAAATCAACATTTGTGCTGGTTGATAATCATTATCATAATGTGTCCGAAATAACTAATATTTTAAGAGGGATTTTATGCAGAGCCATTAGGAGTTACAATCCGGAACGTTAACATTAGTCTACTTACTTCTATTTCCCAGAAGACCTCCAACACGGCTGAAGAGTTTGAACATCAAGTGATAATATCCATAATCCTACTGACTATCCATTGTTGGTATTTGCATTTCATTGACCAACCACGTAGGGGTGAGTACTAAACTAACCTTAATGTTCAGGGACGAAGACATGACATGACATAGGTAATTAAAGTAGAATTCAATCTTTTCTGAAT